TAGGTATTTCCAAGATGGCGGCCTGTCAACGTCTTGCGAACGACAGCTGCTATCATCACGCGCTATGATCGATGGAATCCCGATTTGTATACATAATTCTATCGTTACGTTTTAATTTTAATTGAATAGTGACCTCATGTTTTTTTTCCTCAAAATTCCCGAGTCTCCTTGTCGTTGACCTGACAAAACCAACATGTAAACAACATGTTTTGCAGACGAAATGCTATCCATACGGCACTGGGTTCCCGATCGTGGCACAATTCAATCGTTATGTTTACATTTATTTGAACCTCAATCCTTATTGTTGTTTTTTTATTATTTATCATTTTTTCCCACTAGGAATGTTGTGCAGTTAATGCTCAAAGCACAACATGATTGCAAAGAGTGGATCTTCTTTATGGAACAAAGTCCCGTGCAAGTCTATGACGATCGAGTTTAACTACAGTAAGGCAGCCAATGTTTGGAGCACAACAAAGTCAGAAGGATTAGTTTAGACTAAGTTTTATGGAACAGTTCACATTAAATGACGATCTTGTCAAATTATGGTATATTATGTAAAGTATTATGTAATTTAAATAAAGTCTCTCATACATTTTAATACTGTCTTGTATGTTTGTTTTTGTGAGAGTGAATCCTGAAAAATATGCAAATTAGTATGCAAATTAGCATGCAAATTAGACCGCCATGCTTGCCTCTGAGCCTGGGGAGAACACTGCTCAGTATTTAATATAAAATATTTTAATGGTAACATTAATGTCTTTTTGTTCCTCTAATCGAAATATTCTTTATCACTGAATGCCAACATTTTATCTTTAAAGGCCTTTCAGTCACTAATTGGGAGATCATCATCTTGCCGTTCATTCAAGGTATGTATTTAGTATTATTATTATACATCTAACACCAAAAACGATAGAATTTAACATTCCGTACAAGCATTTTATTTGCTTTATTGTTAGCGCATGTGCTGATGTAAATTACATACGTCAAAATGACTAATTTTCACTAGTTTAAATTTTGCTGATTTACCATTTTAGGCATATTCAGAGGGTTTTAAATTCACGATTTTATCATTTAGATAATGTGTTCTATGCTAAATTTTACATATTCACTAGGTTTTAATTTGGCGCATTTTCCAGTCAGCGAAATAAGCAAAATTAAAACCCAGTGATAATTACTCCTTTACAGTATGTCAAAATAAATGATATTTTAATTCAGTGTACAGTACATCAAATGCAATTTTTGGTTTATATTCTATTAAACCAAATATGTAAAAACATATTCGCACTTTGTGAAATTTATAGTGTATTTCATTATTCTTAGCAGATACTACTTGTGTTTTGATGAGTTCTCTATTGAAACAACCAAGGGTTTAACCACCATTAAATCCATAATTGAGCATTAAGAATTAAAACTTGAACATACCCCTAAAGGCTGAAGGGGTTCCTAGATATACTGGTACTAATTCTCATTAGTTTACTTTTCTACCCGAGTGATTAAACTATGGACTGAAGAGTTCCTGCACTTAATTTTGGTTACACTGCTGCAAACAGCTTAACTGTATTGTTACTGTATTTGCAATAAACTAATTGAGCTTGCGAATTCGTTTCTTATTATGTTGCTTCGCTTTGTGGAAAACATTGATGGTTGACCTACCCCATATTTCTAACCCCCCTGAGGAACAGAGACCATAATAAGTGCAAACATTATCTGATGATCTCCACGCTGAGTGTCCTGCTTGTGGGAGAGAATGCTGGTGCCCATCATGTTGTAGCGTGTGCACAGCATATGGGACGGAAGCTGATAAATTGTGCCAGAGAAAATCTGACTCTTCACGTTGTTCTGCGAGGTACTCTGTAAGCTGTGACTCATCCCATATGTCTCCTGACTCAAACACTCTGCTTCTACTTGACATCATTGTAATATTTGAGGTAAAAAAAAAATTTCAGTGAATGATTCCCACATAGTGAATTTGTCTTCCCTTACTGTGGTAAGTCAGTAGCACACTCATTCATGGAACAAGTTGACCACCTGTTAGTATTACAGCAAGTCTCAGAAATATTGGGGCAGCCAATTTGCAAACTCGCTAGCGAATTGGCTAACTGCTTTGATTTTGACTAAACGGATGACTTTCGAAACTCGCTGGTGCCGTCATGTGGTCACGCCCACTTTGGGTTAATCTATACAACAGTAGGGACCCTGGTAGGGACGGTTGTCATACTTTAGAAGCTAGTCAGAGACGGCCTTACAGTTGGGTGCCAATTTCGCTTTCAAATATACCAGTGAAAGTATTCTTCGTGTAATGAAGTGATGTCGAATTTTATTAGCGGTTGGCTTAATGTTACCCCAACGAATCGTTTGGATGTGAAAGTTTGTTTTCTCCCTGATTTGTAGGAATCTGTTTCTCAACTTGTCTCTTTATTTAGTTTCAATCAGTGTTCAAGATGGCTACCCCAGTATATAGAGTAAATATCGGTTGATTAATCGCTTATCATATTATTACTTGTATGTCAGCTGACTGTGGCTATTCTCAGACTTACCAGGAAAACTACTTATACATTATTACGCCTCGCAAAGCAAATCATTCAGGGGAATCCAAACATATCCATGTACCTGGCTACGTACGTAAAAGCATTCTATGTCCCCTAATGCAATATAGGCTCACCCAGAGTGGACGCAACCACGAGTCGACGCCAGCGAGATTCGAAAGCCAACTGTTTTGTCATAACCCAAGCGAGTTTGCAAATTGGCTGCCCCAATACTTCTGAGACTTGTGTAAACCTCAAGGACCTGAGTAATACAGTCTCTATGTAATAGTGATCATTGACATATTATTTAATGCTCTTATTGTTTTATTAGCGTGGTTGCTTTAATTTGGATCTTATTGAGACCGAACCACTGCATTTAGCAGCAAAGAGTGGAGACACAAATAAAGTAGAATCCTTATTGAGAGACGAAGTAGAGTGTGTTAACAAGAAGAATGAGGTATGCCATTTATCTTTATATACATGCAGTAGTAGCAGTGATTTTAATTTGCAGTTGAACTAGGACAAGTAACATAAAATAAAGGAATCAATAATGTTATATTTTGGGACCCTGTGGCTCATCTAGTTTTTAAACTAGTTTTCTAAATGACTGCATCACATACATGTTTGTGCTGTTTATAAAACACAAAGAATTTTTTTTTGTGGAGAGAATGTTCAAATAATCAATCAATCCTCTATACCACTGTTACTTCTGTGATCAAACAATAAATATTTTACAGATGAAAGAAATATGACAAATGTGCCAATATCATATTCTGAGTATATATAATGCTGGGTTTTGGGCATTTGTTATCGTTATAACTTGACAAACATGTAAACCATTATATCATCTTCAGCTTGGTTTTACACCCTTGCATGTGGCAGTGAAATACAACAGGGAGAGTATTGTGAGATTACTGGTGAATTCTGGTGCCTGTCCTAATATTGCATCGCCGCAGGTATGTGTTATAGTTGTAATCAACAAAATGAATATAGACGAAAGTCAGAAGTTTGTGAGAGTTGCACATCATGCATCCAGCTGCTTTCCAATGATGCTTTTTCACGGATATATTTTGTGCTCAATTTACAATTTTATAAATATATAATGCAACTTCATGTGAAAGCATATGCCCTCTGACAAAAATATAGTTAATTATGCTAATAATAATATTTATATTGGTAGGTTGGTTGGACGCCACTTCATATTGCGACTGTGAATTTTAACAGTAAACTGGTGAAATTCTTGTTGGACAGAAAAGCCAATCCATTAGTCAAAACAAAGGTATTTATAGAATCATGTGTTAACACTACCTCTCTAGTTAAAGTGATGTATATTTATTTAACTTCACCTCCTGAAAACTTGGCAAATACTAAAAACTGTAGGCGACATTATTGGTTCTCTTTCTCCATATCTGTCAATCCACCATGATTTAATCTGGCAGTTTACAAGTACAATATGTGCAGATTTTCAACAAAAAATCTATCTGGTCTACTGATTACATGTATCCCAGACCATTATGGTACTAAGTTTCATTAAAATAGGCTCAGCATTTTTTAGTGAAAAAATGTAAAACACATGTAAATAAATAATATGTACATATTCAAACCTGCAACTGATAATGCCTGCATTTGATTCCACAGTATTTATGTACCAAATTATATTGAAAACTGGCTAGTTGTTCTAGAATAGAGGTAGAGATTATGACAGAATATGTTGTATCTATAGTTACAATTCTAGCTTAATATTTATTTCAGTTTGGGGTTACCGCTCTGGATATTGCAGTAGCCTTTAAATTCACGGTTGTCATTTTCTTGATAACGAAGATCACTGTTTGTGTCAATCGTTTAATAGTATCTGCTGTGTTGAAGGTATGTTGAAAAAAATCGTTTTACAATGTTGACAAACACCATAGTTACTGAGATGGGTCTGGTTGGTCTTCTTTGGTTACTCATAAATATGGTGGTAGATCTGATTGGTTATTTATAGTTACTCATAAATATGGTGGTAGATCTGATTGGTTATTTATAGTTACTCATAAATATGGTGGTAGATCTGATTGGTTATTTATAGTTACTCATAAATAAATATTAGGGTGAATCTGGTTGGTCATCTTAAGTTACTCTGGTATGTTAAGATGGATTTAATAGGTGATTCTTACATGACAAATATATCTCTGCTCTATTAATTCCAATGATTATTTTGTAATGAATTATATGTTATTATATTAACAGGCAGGAGAGACTGGCTGGTTAATTCGGACTGCAACTGTCATCTAACAGAAAGCCTATAGGAGTGAACTGTTATTTAAACAACATTTTTCAAACAATTTAAAACTAAACTAATTGGTATATTTTTGTTAATTTTTATTTAAGTATCATTATAACTCTGTTAATCATTTGTTTTTGAGCATTATTGAACATTTAACTTAAGATATCAGCTCCTAGTTCCAAATATTAGCGTATAATATTTGACTTACAGTTAACATTGTTTGTTTTTGAGGTTTAAAACAAACATTTCTATATATCATTTAACCTTTAGTTTTAAGTTTTCTCGTACAGTTTCATTTGAAACTATTGTGTGTAAATTTTCAGTATTAAGCGATTTGTATTTCTAATATTTTAACATGGAGTGCCAAAAACAATTTGATGATGATTGTCAACTAAAGTCAAGCACTTCCAACAGTGATGAACTATCAACGAATATTCAAATTGGAGACAGTAATGTAATGCATGTTAATGATGCTTCAGAAGGAGCCTGTTATATACCTTCCATTGATGAAAGTGATGGTACTAAAAGTTGGAAGGATGAAAAGCTAAAATTACATGTAGAAGATTTTCCAGTTGATATGAATTCTGAGGCTATTCGCTTGGCCTCTTATCGCACATGGCCACACTCTAGTCCAGTGAATCCCAGTGCATTAGCTAGGGCAGGTATGTTTTACACTGGCAATGGCGATATGGTAGAATGCTTCTCATGTCATGGGCAGATAAAGGAATGGGATTTCGGTGATACAGCAATGGGAGAGCATAAAAGATTGTTTCCTGATTGTGCATTTGTCAACGGGAAAAACACCAATAATATTCCATTGATAAAGCCACCAAGTGATGGGTCTTTGTCGTCTACTGGAATCGGTAATGGGACAACGGGCAAAGAAAATGGAGATAATACAGGAGAGGGGCCAAAAAAGGGAAAGAAGAAAAAGAAGAAGAAGAAAAAAAAGAAAGATGATGAAGATGAAGACGAAGCAGCAACAACAACAGAAGGCAGTTCCATATATAACATGGATGATGACCCACTATTACAAGAAGCTAATCGTGTACTGAAGAGTGAATATAAACGACTTTTGACTTACATCTACTGGCCTAAAAATGCTGCAGTGTTACCTGAAGACTTGTCAAGAGCAGGTTTCTACTATTGTGGTTCAGATGATCGTGCCCAGTGTTTCAGCTGCTCAGGAATTCTGAAGAATTGGTCTCCGGGTGATGTTCCAATGGTTGAACACAGACGTTACTTCCCAAATTGTCCCTTCATTCGAGGTTTAGAAGTCGGAAACGAACCAATGAGAACGAGTCGTACAGGCACTGAATACGATGATTTGCCTCGTCCTAGCAAGACACCCTCTGCTACTTTACAAGCACGTAGAACAGAGAACTTGGATACATCAGCTGAGCAGACAGCTAGGTATACCAGTAATAGCGAAGTTCAGCAACCAGGCACGCAGAACCAGGCCAGACACCCTGAATACTCTGAAGAGAGAACTCGAATTGCTACTTATACAAACTGGTCTGAGAATGTTGTGGTATCACCAGTTGACTTGGCTAAGGCAGGATTTTATTACACTGGTAAGTAAGAAGGTTCTGTCCAAATTAAAGATGATAGTCATACTTTCATTATCATGTCATTGGGATATCAAAAATGAAAAAAGATTTTTCAGCATACAAGAATCTAAACGGCAATGAAAAATGATCATAATTTGCATGTTTACACTGTTTCCATTGTAAGATAAAAGTTTTGCTATGTGACTTTGAATGAAAACGTCATATATTACTATTTAGTCACTTTCCAATGTGATTATAGTTTTCCATTATTCACAATGGAAGCCCTCTCTCATGCATTTCATATATACGCAGTAAAATTTGAATTTAGCTCAAACTGTTGAATGTTGACTGTACTTATATCTACTGGTATACGAGGTCAACGATCAATGTTTTTTTTTCCTCCACGAGTGTGTCAAGTGGACTATAAATCGATTGAGTTCAGTCACATGTTCGTGAATTTTTATTTTTAAATAAATACTTATGCCCAATAACGATTTCTAATTGTAAGTGGAATGTACCATTATTATGTAGGGGTATTCATGTATGTGATAAATGTATTGCAGGTGTTAAAGACAACGTGAAGTGTTTTTACTGTGATGGTGGATTGAGGAACTGGGAGCCAACAGATGAGCCTTGGATAGAACATGCAAGATGGTTCCCTAAATGTGCGTTTGTCTTGCAGCAGAGAGGTTCTGTGTTCATGAAATATGTTACTTCACAATATCCACAGCCATATGAACCACACCTACCAGCAGACACACATCAGGTAAAAACTAAACTAAAAACTGTGCCATCAAGTCATCTAACTTGCCATACCAGGACATATTACTTGTATCAATTCCCATGACTATGACTCCAGTTTTATGACTTGACATATGGCCCCAAACAACTTTATCCAAAATTAATGCAAAGATACTTTTTTATTTTATTTTATAAATTTTTTTTTTATTTCCTTTTGCAGTATTTACATCATCAGTGACCTTCTTGTGTTATTTTAGCTGTAAATGGCATATTTTGAGTTAAATGAAAAAAAATATGAAAACGCTTGTTTTAAGATTTTGGAAATGCGTGCCCAGTCATATTGCTTGCAATACCTGCCACATGTCGCTTGCTTTGGCATTCCATACCAGTCACATGTCTTGCTATAATCAGTCAGATGGCATGCTAAAACAGTCACACCATAGTGCAGCCTGGAAATCACATTTTCAGGCCATTCTTTAAAAAAACATCCTGGAAAAGTATGGAATTCCACCACTGTTCAATGAAAGTTGATTTTTGTTGAGATCCTATTCAATATGGCTGAGTGTCAGTCATTTTGTTTTCAGAAAATAACTTTTCCATCTTTTTTTTGCTCAATTCTGCCTACTAGTATGTCCAATTCAACCCAGACTGGTTCCACAGACATTTATGTTCTAGCACATCTTGCACTTGGATTCTCTTTGCACCACCAATAAGTTACAACTGAAATAGTCTGGATTCTTATAAATATGGAGCCAGGAATGGCCTGGAATTTTATTCTGAGGTGTATGAACCCTGTCAGTCAGATGACTACAACAGTTACATGCTTTGCCATACCATTCACATGACTTGCTACAACAGTCACATGCCTTGCCATACCTTTCACATGGCTTACCAATGCAAATCCTAAGTTTTTCAAATTGTTCTAATGAATTGTTTTTATCTATTTAGTATGTTGAAGAAATACAACAGCCAAGACCACAAGGTAGGCACCTGTTATTACTAATTCACTACCTCTTACTGTAATACCTGTGTAAACTTAAAACTTTGTGTAAACCATGAAATAAATTTTTTCGCATCAATAGTGCAACCTAGAGCCAATGTGAATGACGTGATGAGAAGTGATTTGGTACAAGTAGTGATGGACATGGGATATGACAGACAGCTTATCAAGAATAGCATCAAACGTAAGATTCGTCAAACTGGTGAAAGTTTCTCTACTACTCATGAGTTGTTATTGGCAGTTTGGGATTATGAAGCAAGTGGTGAACAAGAGGATGAGGACGAGGATGATTACCCGCCACCACCACGGAAACTACCAGGAGAGAAGGTACCAGATGAACCATTGGGAGGCAACAAACTGTCTGATTCTACAGAAAGCAGAATACTGAAGCCTCCTCCAGCATTTTTAGCTGCTGTTGAGGAGCCTCCTTCAGGTCAGTAAAAAAAAATCTGTGTGAATTTGATCCATAAAAAATCCAGCAATAATGATGTCCTGTTGTAAATGAAATTAATTAAAATTTATTTACCAACTTTAGGGGTGTTAGGTATAAGTATTATGGCTGAAATCAGCTTTGATGACAGTCAACTTTGTCTTCAGGATCAACTTTCACAAGAAATATGACAGACACATTTTGCATGAAACGATGTTATAGTAAACTTTGTTCAGAGATTGGAGTCAATGATTTTTGTGAAAGTTAGTCCTTGTGATGAACTCCATCATATTATCAGTAACAATCATTTCTAGTAGCAAAAATGTCATAGCTTAGTCAGTCGCTTACTTTACTGTACCAGTCACACGGTTTACCGTACCAGTCACACGGTTTACCGTACCAGTCACATGGTTTACCGTACCAGTCGCTTACTTTACTGTACCAGTCACACGGTTTACCGTACCAGTCGCTTACTTTACCGTACCAGTCACACGGTTTACCGTACCAGTCACACGGTTTACCGTACCAGTCACATGGTTTACCGTACCAGTCACACGGTTTACCGTACCAGTCGCTTACTTTACTGTACCAGTCACACGGTTTACCGTACCAGTCGCTTACTTTACTGTACCAGTCACACGGTTTACCGTACCAGTCGCTTACTTTACTGTACCAGTCACACGGTTTACCGTACCAGTCACTTACTTTACCGTACCAGTCACTTACTTTACTGTACCAGTCACACGGTTTACCGTACCAGTCACATGGTTTACCGTACCAGTCACACGGTTTACCGTACCAGTCGCTTACTTTACTGTACCAGTCACACGGTTTACCGTACCAGTCACACGGTTTACCGTACCAGTCACACGGTTTACCGTACCAGTCACACGGTTTACCGTACCAGTCACACGGTTTACCGTACCAGTCGCTTACTTTACTGTACCAGTCACACGGTTTACCGTACCAGTCACATGGTTTACCGTACCAGTCACATGGTTTACCGTACCAGTCGCATGGTTTACCATACTAGTCGCATGCTTTTACCATACCAGTCACATGGCTTGTTATACCAGTCACATACACAGTATGGTCATTAATTAGTCCCCGTTCGGACGAAGTCCGAAAACGGGGACTTATAATTTGGTCTCCGTGCGTCCGTGCATCTGTGCGTCCGTCCGGAGTCATATCTCAGAATCCCTTGGACCGATTCCGTTCATTCTTTGCATGTGCCTAGTACTTTATGTGGGACATATGCAAATGCAGTGGTTTAGCGATTCGATTCAAAATGGTCGACTGGCAGCCATCTTGTTTTTTTAAAATATTGTATTTTAGACATGCTTTGTCAGTTTTCATTCAAACTTGGTACATAGATTATACATGTTAGGATACATGTCCATGATGATTTATTTCACAATTGGATCAAAGATGGCCGACTGGCAGCCATCTTGTTTTTTGTTTTTTTATGCGGTATCTTGGACGTGCTCTGTCAGTTTTCATTCAAATTTGGCACATACATGTACTTTATACATGTTAGGATGCATGTCCATGACAATTTGTTTCAAAATCTGGTCAAGGATGGCCGATTGACAGCCATCTGACTTTTTGGCCTTGCTGCTATATTTCCACAATTTATGTACCATTTTCATTCATTTTTGGCACATACATCATACATATCAGTGTGTTTCATAATTAGATCAAAGATGGCCGAATAACGGCTGTTTTTATTTTTGGCCATATTACTACTACAAGGAACACAATCTGTTGTATACACCACTTGGAACTCAAGTTTCAAGGACGAGCACAAAGAGAACTTTTAAAAATTTAACGGGGACTGTGTCATTTTCAATGACTTGTTCAATAATATTTTATAATTGCAGGTCCAGTTACAGCTGAAACTTTACAGCGACAGTTAGAAGACATAATTGATGAGAAAAGATGTAAAGTATGCATGGATCGCGATCGTTGTATGTTATTCCAGCCATGCCGCCATGTTGTCACGTGTGAGATTTGTTCTGCTGCGCTGAGAGAGTGCCCTATCTGCAGGAAAACCATTAAAAGCACTGTCAAGATTTATATGTCTTAAGGATGTTAATTCAAAGCAAAGGAAATTCAGACATTTGACAAATGGAAAGCGATTTGTTCATTTCATAAAATCTTCAATTCTCTAATTTAGATCAATATTTTAGTCATATTTGGTAAAAAGTGATGCTTTCGACTTCTTGTTGAAAACTATAATATTATACATATAGGTACCTCAAGTGAACCTCTCCAATTTGTTCATTTCGTGCTGATATCTTTAATTCTTTAATTTTGGTGAATATTTTTGTAATTTTTGTTAAAAAGTTAAATTTTCGACTTTTTGTTAAGAACCACAAATCCAATTGCTTTGATATTACATATATAGGTACTACATGTGGTCCTCTCTCAGATTTGTTCATTTCATGATGATATCTTCAATTCTCTAATTTTGATGAATATTTTTGTCATTTTTGGTAAAAAGCGATTTCCGATTGCTTTGATACTATACATATTGTTCATTTTCTATTGATATCTTCTGTTCTTTAATTGCAATGTGCATTGCTATAAGCGGAGCTATCTCAGCCGACAGGCTGCTTGTTTACAATCATGGGAGGTGAAAAAATATCCTGAATAATGAAAAAATGATGGTAGATTTGCTCAAATTAAAGTGATTTATGAAATTAAAAAGTATGTAGGTAAGTTTTTCTTCTTGTTGCTTTAGCTGTTTGTTTTCTTTTCTTACTAAAACTTCTATTTGGGTTCATTATTGAATACGTAATTGAGCTGACATGAAGTTTTTTGTAAAAATTAATAATAATAATTATTATTTCAGTTACAAATGTTCTCAATCACCTATTACTCATTTTTTCAAATGTCATCGTTGTGATATAATAGTAAATAAATTGAACAAATCAACAACTGGTTCTCAATCAATTTTTATCTGACTTAGTAAGACAATGGTAAGACTTTCTTAGGCCCCCTCAACTATAATACTATAATCCTAATCGTGCCCATTCCCCATTTCAGATGTATATATACCCCTCTTTGAGTCGCTTGTAGTTATTTGAAGGAGCATATTGAATTGCATTGTGGGTTGGAGTGTTAGTATTAGGGTTCAGACTGAGGGGGGGGGGCTTAAGGAATTCTTTCCAGGACAATACTTATTTGATTGCAGGTCCACATTTTTTTTATGTGGCCATCGTATTAGAGATTAGGCTGCACATAGATTGTATATCTGCGAAGGCAACCAAAAGTAATCGAAGAAAGGGTTTGAAAATTCTATTGCCTCATCATAAAATTGATGCCCCACATTTATGACGGAAACAGTTATCTTGGCATTCTGACTGTAAAACTACATATGAATCGGAAGACCCAGTTATCCCGGCATTGTGACTGTAAAACTCCATATGAATCGGAAGACCCAGTTATCCCGGCATTGTGACTGTAAAACTACATATGAATCTGAAGACCCAGTTATCCCGGCATTGTGACTGTAAAACTACATATGAATCAGAAGGCCCAGTTATCCTGGCATTGTTACCATGAAGCTATGTATAAATCAGAAGGCCCAGTTATCCTGGCATTGTTACCATGAAGCTATGTATGAATCAGAAGGCCCAGTTATCCTGGCATTGTGACTGTAAAACTACATATGAATCAGAAGGCCCAGTTATCCTGGCATTGTTACCATGAAGCTATGTATGAATCAGAAGGCCCAGTTATCCTGGCATTGTGACTGTAAAACTACATATGAATCAGAAGGCCCAGTTATCCTGGCATTGTGACTGTAAAACTACATATGAATCAGAAGGCCCAGTTATCCTGGCATTGTGACTGTAAAACTACATATGAACCAGAAGGCCCAGTTATCCCGGCATTGTGACCATGAAACTACATATGAATCAGAAGACTCAGTTATCCTGGCATTGCAACTGTAAAACTACATATGAATCAGAAGGCCCAGTTATCCCAGCATTGTGACTGTAAAACTACATATGAATCAGAAGGCCCAGTTATCCTGGCATTGTAACTGTAAACCTACTTATGAATCAGAAGGCCCAGTTATCCTGGCATTGTGACTGTAAAACTACATATGAATCAGAAGGCCCAGCTATCCTGGCATTGTGACCATGAAACTATCTATGAATCAGAAGGCCCAGTCATCCTGGCATTGTGACCATGAAACTACATATGAATCAGAAGACCCAGTTATCATGGCATTGCAACTGTAAAACTACATATGAATCAGAAGGTCCAGTTATCCTGGCATTGTTACCATGACGCTAAGTATGAATCAGAAGGTCCAGTTATCCTGGCATTCTGACTAAAACTACATATGAACCCGAAAGCCCAGTTATCCTGGCATTGTTACTGTAAACCTACTTATGAATCAGAAGGCCCAGTTATCCTGGCATTGTAACTGTAAAATTATATATGCATCACAATGCCCAGTAATTCTGTCATTGCGACCATGAAACTACATATGAATCAAAAGGCCCAGTTATCCTAGCATTGTTACCATGAAGCTATGTATGAATCAGAAGGCCCAGTTATCCTGGCATTCTGGCTGTAAAACTACATATGAACCAGAAAGCCCAGTTATCCAGGCATTGTTACTGTAAACCTACGTATGAATCAGAAGGCCCAGTTATCCTGGCATTGTGACCATGAAGCTACATATGAATCACAAGGCCCATCTATCCTGGCATTGTGACCATGAAACAATCTATGAATCAGAAAGCCCAGTTATCCTGGCATTCTGACTGAAACTACATATGAATCAGAAAGCCCAGTTATCCTGGCATTCTGACTGAAACTATCTATGAATCCGAAGGCCCAGTTATCCTGGCATTGTGACCATGAAACTACATATGAATCAGAAGGCCCAGCTATCCTGGCATTCTGACCATGAAACTACACTTCAGCTTCACCTTCGCTTCAGCATCGCATCATTATGGCATTGTTATGGCTTCAGCATCGCATCAATGTCGCGACATTAAAAAGTTAAGCGGTTATCC